CACCCGCTGTCGACAACTCTCCCAGGAAATTAGTTTCGTGAGAAGCGATCAAGTCGCGTCTGTGATCTTGAAGATCGAGCTGAATTTTCGTACAAGCCATTCTGTCATAGTAACTTTTAACCGCCTGCATGTTACAGCCACTTCCTCCAATTATCACTTTCACGTGGTTGTGGTTGAACCTGGGCTGTGCAAACAGTCTTATCGACTTGTCTGTGACCCTCACGCAACCGGACACATCGACCTCTTTTAGATGCGCACAGTGATTCGCTAAGCAGTTGATCGCATTGTCGGATATTCGAGACGAGTTTCGTAGTCTTACAGTTTGCAAACAGCCGTTGGAAGCAATGGCGATAATGACGTCGTCGTCGCAGCATTCCACATCGCTCAGATCCACCTCACGCAGTTTTGTGCATAAACCAAGCAAGCTCAACCCTTTCGCCGTCAGTCGAGAGTTGAGGCCAGCGTAACCGCAAGTAAATATTTTGAGATCCGGACATCCGCAGGTGATTGCAGCTAGGCATTCGTCGTCTATTACCCGACTAAAGTCAAGATGTAACTCTTCAAGCTGTTTAAGTTTTCCGATCTGCCGTAAACCGACTGAAGTCAAAAATTTGAAGCCTCTCCCTCGCGCGGAAACCACACGAAGGTGCCTAGTGTAAAAACAAAATTAAAGCGAGCAAATTAACCCTGGAAGTTAACAATCAGCAATATGAGCATTGTATAGATCTAGCATATCGACCTCAAGGACTGACAAGTATATTTGTATTTGATAAGTAAATGACTTTTGTTAGCTTTCATGACTGTCAGTGCTGCTTGGCCCAGATGTTGGCTGCAAATCAAAATGAAGACTTAAAACATCTGTCACTTATCTCTGTCGCAATTATCGCATCGTCAAAACGGACTCTGATAAAAGGAACATCAGTATGAGTTTTCACCTCATATCAGGTGAAAACTCATACTGATGTTACCATATTGCGGTTTCATTCAATCTTTCCGCTACACAGGGAAAAAATGAATGAAGTTGTCAATGATGTTCCCCATTTTAAAAAGTGCATTTCGATAACATCGCCTTAAACCACACTTAGGCGTAGTCCTGTAAGCACAAGATTGAACTAAATACAGATGTTCGTCTGTACCAATAATACTGCAAACGGTCAGCGACGACTGACTGTATGACATGAAGAGAGCGCAATTTGACGCAGACTCCCCGCACGCCACCTCAGACGTGAAGCGAACAAAAGGTCAAGCTCTCGCCTGCCACAAAGGACCAAAAACGTGGGTCGAACAGAGGAAGGAGCGCCCGCCTTCAAAAAAGACAAGAAATGTGGGACGAATAAAAAAGGGAGCGCGCGCCTTTTACAATGGACCGGAAACGTGGGCTGAAGAAAAGAGAGCTCGCCTTCCGCAAGTCGTAAGGCAAAGGAGCACCATGCACCGGAAATACAACCAGCAGGACAACGCGGACTGGTCCCCAAGGATGAACAAATATTAGGCGCGCGCATAAAAGGATCATTCAACGTTGGAACAGGGTGATTATTATGTACGTATACAGATTATAATCTCGTGTAGGCAGTTGTTGCCATTTGTATGTGCGCTGTGCTTGCAAGTAAAGCCTTGTGACCAGTTTCCGCGTCCTGTTTGCTAGCTACTCCCAGCCGGCTGAAACATGGTAAGGTCCTCTTTAGCCTTCAATTGCTTTTTTCTTAAAGGTATTATATTTTGACTAAACGAGGGCTAAGAATGACCACATGCACAACAATGTGACAAACAGTAATGCGAAGCATGTTAATTACAAGTACTGTAGTTAATTTAGAATGAACACCGTAGAAAACACACCTTTTGGATATGAATAACTTAGTTATGGATAAAAGTCAAATTGGTTCCTCATCTTAAGTCATATGCCCCTACTAGATATTTTAGAATACAGTTAAAGTGAGACGAGGATCCACTACATATCGTAATAATATAACAGAATTAAAGACTGAAACATAACCGCCGGTAAATTTTTTTAAAACGCTTATCTAAACGAATAATTTGAAACTATTTAAAATTTAAATCAGAGATACGTTTACACCTAGTGCTGATTTTGAGTGAGTCATCAGGTGACTAAAGGCGAAGCGTAGCCGGAAGGCGAATAGAGCCGTATATTCAGTACGCTTCAGCAGAACCATGCCTTGTTTGATATTAAGCTAATTGAATTCCTTGCTTAATTTAATTAGCAGTGGGAATTTACCCGCCCGTGGGGTCTGAACTTGGCATTCAAGCCACATGAAACAACTAATCAATTGTACTATCGCCCCCTCCATTCCTGCTATTAGATTAACAAGAAAAGACTTAACGATAGAAAGTGTTGCGACAGGACGATTAAAGACACAAAAACCAGACAACTGCATATTATTTTATACCTCCATTTAGAGCAACGTAATCTCTATATCGTCTTGTGGCGCGTCTATGACACAAAACGTTTCTACGTCGATGGCAGGAGGAAGTTAGCACAACTTGACATGTTAAACACACTACACATTACATTAAATCACGGAACATGGCTGGTAAGCAAATCAGTGATCCTACAACTCCTCTGAAAACCAATCTTTGGTCAGAAGTTAATAAAACCAAACACCTTGAGCTGATCATGGAGAATAGTTAAAATTTATCTCCGTGCATTGTTCTTATTTAACAGTCATGTTGCATAAAGACTCAATCAACGATGGAGTCAGCTTTCCGAAGTACCATCTGTTCAGAAGCGACAGAAACTCTGAAACTCAGCATCTTTGTGGAGCGAATCCGGAGAATTGACAAAAAATTGTAATTTTTATCTGCGGCATCGAAAAGTAGTAGTTTGATAGGGAACACACAATATCGAACTTAATTTTTATTACATATCTCAACTGGATAAGGTATACATGTTAGCAGTCGAACAGGTTTCTATTCGAGCCAGGAAATGATGCGGTTTTGCGTTCATGCACTGCAGGTACTGAAATAATAAGGAGCGGTGGCCTGCTTCAACGGCTTCCTAGGACACTATAAGTAAGGGGTCGGTGCGTCCATGTTATCTGAATGCGGAATATTGACAGAATGAAGTGGAGCGGTGACTTCAATCCACCATGACTACTACTGTTTTTATCTGGGGTACGCTTCGTTCAATTATTCTGAACCCCTGTACCAAAGGCGTACAGTGTCTGATGTTTACTTAATGTAAAATACCTGAAAGCTGACTGCATATATTTCGAAAAACAATGCTCAGCAAGGTCAGTTGCATAAGCTAATATACTTTCGTTAGTTAGCTTTGGACCACACAACAGCGTCCATCATCATCATTAGAAACGAAACGGGCAGAAACAAAAAAAGGCGCTACGGTATGTATTCTAATTATTATACATAAAATTAATGATGTTTTGCCAAAAATTGTTTCTTAATGCCTCGAGAGCTTGAAGTCATCAGATTCAAATACAAAAGGTAAATCTTTAAAGACGAGACGTCTTTTGGCACGGAAGATAATAAAAAAGTCCATAACATCGATCCACTTTTCCACGTACTGGATTGGTTAACCTATGACTGATAACTGAAACTGGAATGAAATTCGGCTGAAACTGTCTGTGAGAAATAAAGAATATATTTCACTTCTTTCGTGCAGCAAACCATAGAATCCGAAGATTTTTCCGCTTCCAGTCATCTTCAGCCGGGCACCGGACATCAGTAAATCAATCAATAAGCCAAGTCGTTTTGCCCACAAAGAGCTATTTACTGATATGCCCTGTGAAGAGATAAATTAAATACTCCGTAGAGACAGACATATGCCCAGGATACAGAATCATACTCCCTGTCAAACGGCAATGCCGACACAATTTTTCCGGCACCCTACAGCCATGCGAATGGAGGGGCCATTGGTGATCAAGGGGGATAGCACTGCACAGAAAAACTACAAAATTTGCACTTACTGAAATGTTCGACAAAACAAGGCAAAGAATTCGTCGTTCAACATGCAGCAGTCGTCGACGTGCAACACTTTCATAAATGGCTTCGTCGCACAAAACTCTTCCAGCAGTGCAGGGTTGACGACGCAACCATCCAGGTGCAGTTCTTCGAGGTGGTTGCATGGTACGTAGAAGTTGATGCCCGATATACGCGAGCAACGGCTGAGATCCAAGCATCTCAGATGGCGACAGTGTCGCAGTAACCACCACAACGCCTTGTTTTGCAGGTACGACGACTCTGTGAATACCAGATGCGTGAGTGTGTGACAGAGCTGTTCAGCAAAAGACTATAACAGTAAGAACGATGAGGAAAACGTAGCAACCGATTTAATAATACTTACCCTCAGAGCCTTTGCCCTGACGTTAAAACCACGTAGTGAAATACGTTCTAACGTTGGGCAATAACGCGTAATGATCTTCAGAGATTCCTCGTCGAAAAAGTGATTTTTCACTGACAGATCTAATGACTGCAAATTGGATGATACGCGACTCAAAACTGACCTCAAAACGCTGTTATAAAGCGCAGTGTGGTCGCCTTGAAGCCAGCGGGGAAGATTCAACTCTTTCAAGTCTTTCCATGATTTCTTCATCACCTTCTGCCACTTTCGACAAACTCGCTCACTACGGATAAATGTGCGAAGATCAACGTGGAGTAGCACTTTCAGCAGCAATTCATCTGACAATGCATCGATGCTTGTCACGCTTCTAAAGTTCGAAATGCTTATAGAAACAGATTATGATATCTTGGCTAAAATCTTACAGATAAGATGTACTAGCGTATTTTGTTAAGAAAATGAATAAAATTTATTACTGCCGGTTATCCTTATTGTATACGTCGACGATCGATGTATATCCGTTAATGTATTTGAACATGTTATTACTGACATAACAAAGTGATGCGGTTTTGCAACTATGCACACCAGGTGCTAAAACACCGTGAAGCCGTGGTATGTTTAACTATTTCCTAGGCTGCTTGAAGAAAAAGAATGATGGCAAAACTGCCAGGTCCTCATGCCTTTACACCTGCTCTCTGGAAGTATGCCGATCGAACTTAACAATTTTTAAATGTTTAACATACTCTTTCACTGATTTTTATGGGACTGCGGAAACCAAACTGCAACTACGCCTTTCCTATTTTGGGTGTTTTTATCGTGTCACGAAGTGAAGGATAACTTTGGAGTTATATTACGTCCCCTCTACAAGGATCAAAATCAGATATGAAGCAAAGCGATCGTGCCTGATTTTCCGTTGTCCTTCGTGAGCGTCGTACCAAGAACGAATTTCAACTGGCCGGTCGTTGATCTGCACCGAAAGCTGCTGCGCTTGGGATAAGGCTCTAGCGGCGCTGTCGACATTCGTAAACCTAACGCAATAGTGGATTCGTCCGTTTAGTTCACACTGGTTCAAGGATAAGATCAGGCCAAAACCGCTGAAAAATTCAGCTACTCCGTTTCCATTCACCGGTTTGCCCGTGCAATCAACGCAAACCGTCATGTCACCGGCCTTCATTGGGTCCTGAGGCGTGTCGTCGCTTAAAACATCCAACAGCGACATCGAAAGCTGAGCATTCTTCGTCGCTTCGTGGCTGATACCAGCAGTAGGAAGCATATCGCGTCGCAAATGCATCATGTCTACGGCAGAATATGACAACGTACGTCTAGAGGAAAGAAGTTATTACCTTACAGAACGATTCTGACAGACTACATACTTTATGTGCCCGATCGCAAAATAGCGCGCTCGAGTCATGAACGACGAGAAGGAGTCAGTCAGGTCGTTCAAACCGTTGTCCACATTCTGCGAATGAAGACGCTGAAACGCATGGTACAGCGCAATCAGTTCGTAGCGATCAGAGAAAAGCATCTTCGGCTGTTGATATATTCACTAAAATTTTAAACAATTAGTGATAATCAAAATCAAACAGAGATACCAACCAATCAACAATTAAAGATAGGCGAATTCACTTCACACGGATGCTGATCGAATGACTGCTTTTCGAAAGTCCAACGACTTTTGATCAGCAAGCACTGGCTTGAATGAGCAGTTGTCGCTAAAAGAAAAATAGAATTCAAACTGTACAAATAGTCAGTGAGTTTCGATGACTGTTCATTGTTTCGGATGGCGGAGGTAGCAGTGTCAGAAAATATCTCCAACGTAACCGATTCAGCACCAGCACTTGAGCATCGAGTCTCAACACGTGTCTCAAGCGAAGTTCACTGTGGTATTTTCGACCGGATATTCTTGTCCGAATGTTGAAATCATGAGCTTTGATAAGGTAGCCAGAAAAGCGGCTGGTTGTATTCCATGAAGTACGATAGCTCATGAAACACCGAGAGAACTCAATCTACCTTTATCCGCAACGCCCAGCATGTTCAATTCGCAGATAAGAAAGAACACCCAAAAGACGGGCTGAGCATTTTAGCAGCTGCTCAGCAGCTGTTCGCCAAATTCAACACCTCCAATTGTTTGCTAACACTAGTGGTTAGTTGAGATTCATCCGCAAAGGCCTGTGGGATGGATTGAATTCCTCCGGAGTTAATTAATAATAGAAGAACGCGGACGGTATAAAAGCTCCACGACATGCTTCATCAAATGTGGACCTCACAATGTTTCCCTAGAGAACGGAAACATACAGTAATTGTACCTATATTTAAGGGGACGTGCTACTGAGCGCTGCAACCATTATGATATTATATCTTACCGTCAACTTTCTGGAAACTGTTCTCTTAGATAATTCTCGAGAGGCTGAGACAGATAGCTGAAAGAACCCCCTCCAAATAGAGCAGGCTTTCGGTCGGGCTACTGCCCTGACCAAATTTTCATTCTGTGTAGAATCACTGAGCAAAGCCGACGATTCCAACTGCTTAGATTGCAGTTTCATCGACTTTAAAGCTGTATTTGATTCAATACACCGCCCAATGATGTGGACAATTTTAAAATGAAACGGGATATGGGACATATCGTTTCCACTTGGGAAGAAATATACGCAGGAGCTACTAATTCCGTAAAAGTTGAAAGAGAGCTATCGGGTAGACCTTATTAGCTGTGATGGTCGCCACGGAGAAAAGTTTTCACTTTTTGCTGTTTAAAGTTGTTCTCACCTTTCTTGTCCAAAACAGTGCTGACGCTGGCAAAGAGGAAACTCTCATTCTGGAGAGAATATGCGGTTCAAAATATCCGGTTGGATATCTTGCTGACCTGAAATACGCAGATGATATTGCCCTAATGAGTAGTTCGAAAAGCTGGCGTTGTCACCTGATGGCTTGCGAATGCGTTACATCTGAGAAA